ACACACACACACACACACACTCAGGACACAGGAGTGTATCACTGAACCTCTGGTGGTGGACCTGCGCCCCCTAGTGTCACAACCCTGAAGTGTCTGAGCTGTAACTCACACACACCAAACACAGCTCATCTCGATTCATATCAACTCAGCTGCTTTTCTTCTGGATCCATTTGTTCCTCGTCACCGCTCACTGGTGTTTGTTCTCTTCACTGCTGCTTGAACCTGAACTCATCCTAACTCTAACCTCTGGGGTTGTTTGTGGAAATGCTGTGTTTTCATTTGCTGAGGGTGAAAGTTGGACGCTTGTTTTGAGGCGATGTAGCGTCAGACGGTGTCAACATCATGTCAACATCTTCTCCTGGACATTGTCAGAGACCAGGACGTAAAACTCAAAACCGTCTCCACACTGCCCCCATCGGTCCGTCCCTGACAGAACACAGTCTTTGTGTCTGATAGGTTTGTCTCCGAGCCGCCTGTCTCAGTCTGGGTGTCCCTTCGAGGACATCTGGGTCCTCAGAGACTCATGTCATGGTAAGAGTCCCCGGACGACGGCTTCTCCTGCCCCGGCTGTTCTGAAGCTGCATCGCTGCCCCGCTCAACGCTCTGCATCAGGACCCCACACACTGAGACCGCCACTCTGCCGCTGTCGACAACATGTGACAGCGCCGTCAGCTCACATCAGCTCACGCCATTTCAAAATGTCTCATGTCGTCTCATGACTCCTGATGTCACTACATGATGTCACCTTATATTGCTGCACGCCATTTAAAATTGCTTCCTGGCGCCTCGTGACGCCTCGTGACGCCTCGTGACGCCTCATGGCGCCTCGTGACGCCTCATGTCGCCTCGTGACGCCTCGTGACGCCTCATGTCGCCTCATGACGCCTCATGTCGCCTCGTGACGCCTCGTGACGCTTCATGTCGCCTCATGACGCCTCATGACGCCTCGTGACGCCTCGTGACGCCTCATGACGCCTCGTGACGCCTCATGTCGCCTCGTGTCGCCTCGTGACGCCTCGTGACGCTTCATGTCGCCTCGTGACGCTTCATGTCGCCTCATGTCGCCTCGTGACGCCGCGTGTCGCCTCGTGACGCCTCGTGTCTCCTCGTGACGCCTCGCGGCCTTGGTGTGTGGAGTCCAAACACTCTTCGCTGTCCTCCTCCGTGCTGCCACTGCAACAGCAGAGTGACATCACATCCTTCCTGTAACGAGTCGTTGAGATGAGGATCTTGTTTTTAGATTGAAACACTCGTCATATGATCCTGAAGTTTACAGTAACATTTAAACCCCGCCCCCCTGCTCTGCATCCTGCCCGTCGTCCCTCCCGCCGCTCGGCCCGCTGCTTCCTACAGCCTGACTCCGCCCTTTGCTGCTGACCCCACCCCTCATACCTTTACGTGGTCAATTTCAATTTTGTCGTCTCGCTTGCAGCAGGCGACAGAAACAGCGTCGGGAGCACAGGCAGCGTGGGCAGCACCCGCAGCGCCGGGAGTGGACAGAGCACCGAGAGCAACAACACCCCCAACGGTTTCCCGCACCACAGCGGTCACCATGACAACAACACCAACAAGGTACACAAAGTACTGTCAGACCGTTTCAACAGTATTATTTTATTATTTACGTAGATTCCAATCTACTTTTTATAGACAGTGTCAGACGTTACTAAGATTTTATATATTTTATATATTATATCATTTTCATCAGAAGACACAAAAATCTTTTCATACTTTAAGGTTGAACACATTTAACTAACGAGCACAGACTCAATGTCCTCGTTAGTTAAATGTTAAAATACACAAATTGACAAAACATTTGAGATGAAACTATGAAATATGAGAATATTACAAAAATACAAAGAACACAAGATAACAAACATTATATCACGAAGGATTGATTTCACTCTGAGGTGGTTCCACACGTCTCAATCAATCTCTCTGTCTCGGTTGTATTTCCATGCAGACAGCGCCCCCTGCTGCTGATTCTGGACACTCAGATCTAAGCGACCAGCCTGATCTCCCTGCAGGTACTTCTTATATTTTATCACATTCGTCGAACGTAGTTCACCTTCACATGTTCAGTCTTTACAGGCTATTTAAATAGTTTCAGATGAATGAGAAAGAAAAGGGGATTTTTTATATTTCCTATTCTCCAGAGAAATTAAAGAAATGATGAGGAGCCACATTTTCAACCCTTTTCTTCTACACTTTTCTTTCCCTCTTCACTTCTCAGTCATTTGAAGTGAGTTTAAAGTGTCGTAGGAGCAGCTGATGTTTGTCCGTCAGAACAAACTGTGTTTCTGAGACGTTGTCAGCAGCTGATCTGTGATGTCACTGCAGGTGGAACTCCTCGGAGACAGACGGTGACGGTGCAGAAACCCGCGGAGCAGAGTTTCTCTCAGCAGTTTGTTCGACCTCAGCAGCTGCTGGAGGGGAAGGTACAGATCCCGTGTGAACTACAGAATTAACAAATATATGAAAGAATACTAAATAAATGTAGAGTGACTGAACCATTCAAACTCTTACATCACCTCCTCAAACAAAGTATAAGAAGCGTTTTCTTTAAAGACCAAATGAGTCAAAGCTTCACAGCTGCGCATCACTTCCTGTTTCTCTGCTGCGTCTCGTGTGCTTCAGGATGCTGAAGCCATCTACCAGTGGCTGAGTGAGTTCCAGCTGCAACACTACACAGGAAACTTCCTCAGTGCTGGATATGATGTACCGACCATCAGCAGGATGACTCCTGAGGTAACACACACACACACACACACACACACTCATCACGTTATCGATTAAGGAACAGGAGAACCATCCTGTGACTCAGCGTTCTTGTTCTTTGTCTGCAGGATCTGACCGCCATCGGAGTGACCAAACCAGGCCACCGCAAGAAAATCTCCATGGAGATCAACAACATGAACATCCCCGAGTGGCTGCCGGAGTACATCCCAGTAAGTTCAGCAGTGAACACACTGATCTCACTTCACTGTGACTCCAGATGATGACGCTGATGTCCTCTCTCACAGTCGGACCTGGGCGAGTGGCTCAGCGCCATCGGCCTCCCTCAGTACCACAAAAGACTTTCTGAGAACGGCTACGACTGCATCAGCATCGTCAAAGACCTGACGTGGGAGGATCTGCAGGAGATCGGCATCATCAAGCTCGGTGAGGACACGTCACATGTTCACGTGTCACACATGTTCACGTGTTACACATGTTCACGTGTCACACATGTTCACGTGTCACACATGTTCACGTGTCACACATGTTCACGTGTCTCACATGTCACGTTTGTCACATGTTCACGTTTGTCACATGTTCACGTTTGTCACATGTTCACGTGTCACATGTTCACGTGTAACATGTCACGTGTCACTGTGGTTTGACGGTTTCATTTCCCTCCAGGACACCAGAAGAAGTTAATGCTGGCGGTCAAGAAGCTATGTGACATCCAGAGGGCGATCCTCCACGCTGAATCTGGCCAAGACACGCTGCGACGCAGAGGCCCCGGAGCCCTCCACCTGGTCGCCATCGAACCGGCCGACTCAGACTCCTCCCCTCACACCCCAAAGATGCTGACCTTCCAGGACAGCGAGCTGAGTGCCGAGCTACAGACGGCCATATCCAGGCATTACGGCGGCTGCGAGGAAGGTTTGGCCATGAAGAATGCGGTGGGAATGTCCCAGAGCCAGGAGAGCATCGACGTCCGTTCCAGAGGCTCCGGCCGCTCCCAGGAACCTCCCACAGCCTCCATCACCCCCCACAGCTGGTCGCAGGAGAGCCTGGACGACGGCTCGGCCAAGGAGAGGAACCTCCCTGAGGGCTGGGACCAGAGGCCCCTGCAGCAGCAGCTGCTGCCCAAGCAGGTTCCTCTGGGAACGGCCACTGTGTTCAAGTACCCCGCCATCCCGGCCAAGCCCAGACTGTCGGGATCTTGTGGCCCCTCCCCTCATGGCTCGCCAGCACTGAAGGGTTTTAGTTACCTTCATTCTCACTGTGGCTCCACAGAACTGAGCTCATCTCCCCGCCCTGCGGACCACACCCGGACTCTGCCCAAGAAACGCACCCAGAGCATGACCCGCTACGCTCTGTCGGACGGCGAGCCTGATGATGACGATGAGGAGCCCGTACTCCATTCTGGAAACCTGCCGTCCTACGCCACATTAACCCGCAAGCCGGGGCGAAGTCAGCTGGCTCGACTGCAGTCGAGTCCAGAGAAGAACGGCAGCGTGGGACGCAGTCAATCATTCGCTGTGCGCGCCCGGAAGAAAGGTCCTCCTCCACCCCCCCCGAAACGACTGAGTTCAGTCAGCAGCACCACCAGCGGCGAGCTGAGCGACAGCAGCACGTCTTCATCTTCAGGCCGGGTGGTGACGGACAGTTCGGGCAGCGTGAGGAGCATCGCTGCTGCTCTGGAAGGAAGCACAGAGGGGAGGAGCCCCCCAGGACCCACACCAGAGCTCAGCCACCAGGAGGCGCCCTCCCCTTCCCTCATCTCTGCAGGACAGGAAGTGAGAGAGGCTCCGGGGGTGAGGAGGAGGGTACAGAGCGAGTGCATCCCCACCCACATGGGCGCCGAGCCCGACCGGGGAGTGAAGTCTGACTCAGAGGAGGAAGAACCAAAAGACCTGGGGAGCTCGGCGTCGCCTCAGAACAGCTCCAGCGAGTGCATCCCCTTCGCAGAGGAGGGAAACCTGACCATCAAACAGAGGCCCAAAGCTCCGGGGCCCCCGAGGGCCGAGGCCGTGCTCGAGCCGCCGGACAAACAAGCAACCAAGAACCTGGAGGTGCCCGAGTTTAACCTGAAGGAGTCGGACACGGTGAAACGCCGACAGAAACCCAGAGACAAGGAGCAGGGAGGAGGCTCCCCCAGTCGAGAGGAGGCGGGGCAGCATCGCTCGCCGTCCGGCAGTAGACCACAGAGCGGAGAGGGCGTCGGTCTGAGGATCAGTGACACGGGTGTAGAGCGGCCGGCCAGTCCGGCTACAGGGTCACAGATCAAACCCCCACTCTCCCCCAAACCTCCTACTGTCGCCCCCAAACCTGTACGTCACAGTCTGCTGGCTGCACAAGGTACGACACACACACACACACACA